CTTGAAATTGGTGGAGACTTTCTTCTGATTGAATATGTGAAAAACTGAAACGATTAGCGTGTGCTTCAACAAACTGGAGATGAAAGAACAATGGTTCATATAAAATTTAAGATGAACTTGGCAGCATGAGTATGCACAACACCAATGCTTTTTAGCTACCGTTTCTCAATATTATGTTTTGGAGTAATATGAACATATTACCAAAAGATCTGCAGTATTCAGAGCTTCTCAGTGAGTACAGTATCTGTATTAAGGTGCAGTTTTGATAGTACACTGTGACCTGGTTGTATGTCTTCAAAATGTGACTGCAGTTTATACATGAAACTGATTTTCTACACATCTCTATCAAATTGATACTTCAAGTCATTACTCTAATTTTGTTGACCAAAGTCTCTATTCAGTATATTTGGAAGTACAAGTATTGAACTATGCTTGCCTGCAACCTCAAAGTAGTTTCTTTCATTCATGGATCAGATCCATTACTACCTGAACTGCTTACTTCAGATAGCTTTTGATCAGATCCTAACCTAACAGCAGGTCTTAAATTTTGTGGTTTTTAAATTTCTTTTTCAAAGGTATCTTGTGGTTTTAGGAACATCTCCTTTGTAATCCATAATGGCATACTCTCTGTAAGCCCTCCGTAAAGCTTACATGTAAGACTCAAACCTAAAAGCAAGTACCTGATATTCTATGTTCCTTATGATAAGTTTATTTTATCCAGAGTTTTACAATTTATGAAGTTCATAATAGGTTAAAGATGTTCAGTGTTGCAGTGTTTCTTACCTATTGTATGTTTGGTGTAAATAGAGAATTGATTGTAAGTATGAATAGCTGTTGTGTGAAATAAATCTTTTGTTAAATTAATTTCTTGAATGCAGGTCATATACCTAAATGATTTAAAGATATATAAAATGAAACAAGTACTAATTGTATGTAGACAAGTACAGTAGTTGTAGGCTAGAAAGTGAAACTGCTGACTATGAATCATGTCAGGTATTCCTGTATAGCATCTTCAGATACGAGTTGTGTTTTAATATGTTTGGAAATAACTTTTAGAGGTAGCATAATCATCAAGATAGCCTCTTGTCAATAGGGACAGATTATATTGAACTAAATTCTTTTGGCAAATCCCTTACATAGTACGAGTGTACATCCACTAGACTCCTACAGACCAGTTGTACAATAATTACATACATGGCTTACAATCTTATTAAGTAATAGATGAAGCAGTAAAGTTTTTAATTGTTGCACATGCTAAGTTTCTCTAGCTGTGTTGTTCACAGATGCCAAATGTGTTATGGCACCTATGGACAGAATATAAGTCGCAGAGACCTAAGAACATACAACAAGCACTGCTGGGTTTAGTTTACAATTCTCTTCTCATAGTGGCCAACCAGTTGTCTATAGCAGTGGTCCCCAACCTTTTTCAGTCCACAGACCGGCTGGGGAGGGGGGCACCTCCCCGCACATGCACGAACAAGCGCTCTCTCGCACGAGCATTCATGCTCCCGTGTGAGCACCACACCGCCATTTGTGCAGGGGTGAGTGCATTCGGGGGTGGCGGGAGGTCTCTCTCACTGGTCCGGCTTAGGCCACGGACTGACACCGGGGGTTGGGGACCTCTGGTATATAGGACACCCAAGAGCAAGACATATTGAATGGTACATTGCCATCACAGGTAATAATTGTATGCAAATTTCAAATGCATTTTTTGTGCTTACAAGTAAGATGTGACAATCCCTGTGGGATCTATCTCTGGATATAACTTTGGGATAAAAATTAACAGCACCAAGATGTTTATAGTAGTATTTCTAAACATATCTACACACATTTGGTGCTGTGTAACAGGAAGTATTCTACAGTCCCTAGTGTTAAGTAGGGACTTAAACAAGAGTAGGGCACAATGCTAATGAAATTCTACCCCTTCAAATTTCCATCTGGTTTTAGGCCAGACATACTAGACTTCTTTTAGAGAAGACATAGAAAGTGGACCATTCATGAAATTTACCTGTGATCAGAATCCTTTTGTTTATACTTGCCCATGAAAGTCAAAGGGTGTAAAATATTGTGCTGAGTTGGCACTAGTTAAGAAGTCAATTGCATCTCCGTTAAACTATAGAAATATGAATTTTAAAATAGCTCTGTGGCCTGGATAATGTAAAGGATATATTCATTCTTTAAAAACTTGATCAATCAACACTAATTTAATTTCCAGAAATTGAAAAGCAGTATAATAAAGGACCTTATCCAGATCATTGACTGAAGCTTTTCAAGAACATCATTTGGGGACAACATAGTATTTAGTTATGTATTGAAGAATCACATGTATACTTGTATAATTTCAGTTCTGTGGTGTGATTGTTTTCCTACGCAGGTGTGTGAAGTTGCTTGTATGAAATCGTTGTGTATGAGGTATGCTTTACAAGTTGCTTTTCAGAGTATTGTTGGATTAATGGTTTGTGTGTTGACATGTAGTCATAAATTTCTAGACAGTCATTCTTTTCCAATCATTCTGTATTGCAGGTATCCCTCATTCTTCTTCACATGGGTTAAGCATGCATTAGTTTCCATCCAATCGGATAATTTCCATGGTCCAATTTATTTAACATAATCAGAATTGCTTATTATACTTTTAGACTATTAATGCTGGTGGTGATGTCTTAAGATGTTCCCTGCCTCAACCTTTTGCATCTGATTGCATCCTCAGTGGTTGCATTTGTAAAGGAACAAAAAAAAAATTGGGACAATTAAACAGTGGCCAAAATCCCCGTGCCTGGTTGCACTTGTGTAACACAACTGGTGTGCCTTTGGAGGCAAATTGCCATAAGAAATCACTGCAGCCATTATCTGTGACTTAGCGTGCAACTTATAGTATCTATACAGTGGTGCCTCGACTTACGAACGTCCCAATGTACAACCATTTCGAGCTATGACCAGCTCTGGCCTCAAAATTTGGTTCTATTTGCGACCGGAGCTTCGAGTTACAACCAGAAAAAGGAAGGAAAAAAGGCGGGGGAATTCAAATTGCTGACCGTTGGTAGGCAAAGAGGCTGCTTCTTTGTAGCTCTTTCGCCCAGTGGTTAGAGTGTGTGCGATTGGAGGAGGCTTCGGACTGCCTGGTAAGGTGAGGTGCTGCTTTCTACTTTTTAAAAACTGTTCTGGGTGGGTTTTGCAGTGTGGTTTTGGGCTGGGTGGTGGGATTATGTTTATACTGTGATGGGTCTCACAAGGTTTGTTTGTTTGTTTGTTTTGTTTTTCCCATTTCTGATGGGTCTTGCGGGATTTGTTTTTTGTCCCCCCCCCCATTTCCAATGGGTCTTGCAGGGTTTGTTTGCTTTTGGTTTTTTTTCCTCCCATTTCCGATGGGTCTTGCAGGGATTGTGTTTTTGTTTGTTTGTTTCCCCATTTCCAAGGGGTCTTGCGGGGATTGTTTGCTTTTTTCTTTTTCCTTTTTTTCATTTCCAAAGGGTCTTGCACAGTTTGTTTGCTTTTCTTTTCTTTTTTTTCTCCTTCAGCCGGAACGGATTAATCGCATTTCCGATGAGTCTTGCAGTGGGGTTTTTTTGTCCCCCCCCCTTTCAGCTGGAATGGATTAATTGCATTTCAGTGCATTCCTATGGGAAATAGTGCTTCGACTTATGACCATTTTAAGTTACTACTGGAGTTCTGGAACCAATTAAGTTCGTAAGTCCAGGCACAACTGTACTGTAGTTTGCCTCCAAAGGTTACACTGCTTGCATAGCTACTCAGGATTTTGGTCAACATGTGGTGTGCGGCCTGGATTGACTAATATTCTAGTTAGATTGGGTCCTCCAAAGATAGATATTTTCTCCTTAGAACCACTGCAAAGGTACATGTCCTTTTTAAGGGATATTGCCAGAATATTGTTCTTTGTCACTGTTAAAGCTGCAGAGAGTTTTATTTTAGCAGCACTCTCTTTCAGTGATTTTGTATTAAAATAATCAGGAAATACAGAGAGGGAGAAACAGAAATATTCAAATCACTTCTTACAGCAATATGAAAATAATTATAATGCATTTAGGACATTATTTGCCATAGAAGTAACCAGTGGTATATAAAAGCTGAACTAACATGGTTCTTATAGATCTATTGCTGTGCACCATTTGTGACATGATGAAGCACTGAACATTGTGGGTATCTATGTTGTGCAATTATCAAATAGTTCCTGTGTCACTAAAAAGTTTCATCACTTCAAAAATACAGAAATCTAGCCTAATGTGTTTGTGGAAAATAGAATCTGTTTAGTTAATGTGTATTTAAAATATAGCTTGCACAGAAAAAGATCTATGCAGTAAGCATAACGATTACCTTGGGATAAGGACTTTAATTTCTGGAAGAGTACTTTGGTAAGTACAACATCAGTCATTAAAGTGTTTGTGTATTTTTGTATGTTTAGATCAGCCATTCTCAACTCTCTTTTTGGCTTTAGCCATAAACCCAATATGAAAGAAATACCGGCTAAAGCAGGATTGTATAAGTCATATATCAAACCTTATAAGGTGCTGTGTGAAGAATGGTTTCCACTCTGTGACACCCTTAAAATGTGCTAGCCTCCCCTATAGCTATATGGCCCCCACTGAGAATGGTTGGTCCCGATAATGTTTCAGCATGTTTCAAAAATAATGTGATTTTCAGTGTTAAATTTGCATTCATTTTTGTATGGCCTGCCTATACATATGCTTAAAAATCTCTTTCTTAATGGCAGTTGTCTCAGACACTTAATACTTCGTGAGTTAGAAATGGAAAAGCATTTTCTTGTCAACATATTTGCCTTTCCTAACCATATTTTGAAAGCCTAAATCCACGTTTTGATATTATACAGATGTTGATGACTCATGCACTGTAACTAAGAAATCATAGATTCACAGAATGTTTGACTGTGTTCTCTAAATCAGCCAGCTTCATTTTTATTTTTAGAATGTGAGAGGAGCTTTGACAACATTGCTTGAAATCCTAATGTGTATTGAATTATATTTCAGATGTCCCATTTAAGCAGTCATCGTCAGTAGCTGTAGCTGGGGCTGTAATTGGAGCAGTACTTGCTCTCTTTATTATTACCATCTTTGTAACAGTGCTGCTTACTCCCAAAAAGAAAAGATCCTCTTACCTGGACAAAATGTAAGTTCTTTGAGGTTCATCCTCCTCCTCCTCCTGTATCTGGCACTAGTCAATGTTTTTATAATTTTCGATTGCCTGTGCCTGGTATTTTTGAATAATAATAATAAGTCTTAAACTGTGAAGCTAAAAGACTATTCTATTACAAGTGTTTGTTTCATCTTTTATCTTAAGTTTCTACTATCTCAGATACTCTGAGACATGATGTGTCTTGAATATACGCCTAGTAGCATTATTTCTGATGTGAAGGAGAGAAGTAAAATTGGCACTACTGTTTATAGGTCATTACATGTATGATTTTTTTTTTGCCTTCCTTTTTTTCGAATTGGGTTACATGTATATTTTGATGTTTGGAAGTGATGTTTGTGGATATTATTTGAAAATAGTCTTGGCAGTGTTAAATGTTTATAATGCTATAATAACAGATTTAAATATTTATACCTCTGATAATCTAAACATTATCCGTATTTCTCTAATAGTAATTAAACTGTATATTTTTCTAATTCAGGATTGATCTTCCACCAACACACAAGCCACCGTCTTCATATGAAGATAATTTGCTCTCTCTTTCTCAGAAACAAGAAATTCTTCCAGTAAGTTACTGCTTATAAGAAAAGATTCAAACCTGTATATATCCCCTAACAGGAAAGCATATGTTATTCATACTTGGGCTGTTCTTTGTTCATATTTGATTTTAAAAAGTATACAAAACAGATTTCTGCTAATCAAAGAACCAGTCTTTGTTTAAGGCAGGAGTGGGAAATGTTTGTTTTCAGAAGATGTTTAGCTGCACCTCCTATGAGCCCTAGCTAGCATATTGAGTGAGTGGTACGCATTGGCAGTTCAACAGAAGCAGGAGAGTTACATGTCTTTTGTATTATTACACTGTGTCAAGAGAGAGGGAAACAGTTAACTCTTCCTCATTTATGCCTACCCATCTTCACTTGATGCCCTTCCTATTCCCAATCTCAAATAATCCAGTCTGAGGCAGGCATTTTCCCTGCCTGCCCTCCATGAACTGTAATTATCTCATCTGAGTTCCTTCTCTCAGATGTTGATGTCCAGATCACCTGTCGGGTTGCGAGGTTCTGTGTAGCAATTCTTCGATTGCGGAAGTTAAATACCAATTAGATTGCCGTTCCCAGTTGTATGTATGCCAACATGTTCTAATGGAATACTGAAAGTTAGAAATTTTAAGGTTTTATAAGGTTTTATACTTATGTGACTGGTCTAAGGACTGTAAATAAACTATTGATTGATTGAACCACTGATCTAGACCTGTGCTACTTAATATGGTCCTACCACAGTACTAGTTTTTTGGCTCCTTGTCCAAGAACAGTAAAATGAATGTGTTGTAGTGTGGCTCTTCCAACAAGCATCACAAATGGCCTACTACTTCTAAAACTCTATCCAAGTCTGTATGCCTACTAGCTACTTACATAACACTACAGGCAAGTGTTTGTTATAGCGATTGACTAGCACAGCAGCAACATGTTAGCCACCTAGAGTGGTCAAAATGACTAGATAGGCGGGGCATAAATACAATAAATAAATAAATAAATAAATAAATAAATAAATAAATAAATAAATAAATAAATAAATTTAATGTGGAGTTTTCTTAGAGCCAGCTCAAACCACAGCATGATGGATGAAATCTACCTTCTCTGTGGTAGCATATGACTATGCGTAATATGTTTTTCATACAATCTCAGCCCCTGAGTTCTCAGAGCCATTGGAGTCTGGCTGGGAATATGAATCAGCAATCTGCAGCATAGCTTTGGCCATGGACGTTTCCAGGGAGGTACCTCTGTATTCTTAATTCTAATTCTGATCACGTATTCCTGGGCAATATACGAGGGGGTGCTGATAAGTATTGAGCCTTACCCAGAATAAATTGAGCTAGGAAACTATAAAATGCAGAGTGTATTGGCCAATTTGTCTATATTCAACGGTGCAAAAATCAACTACCTATGATTTTAACTTAACTTTCATTTTCTGGTCCAAAGGGAACATGGCGGCACCTCCAGAAAAGTTCAGTGTGGAAGAGCATAGGACCATAATCAAGTTCCTTTTTCTCCAAGGCAAAGGTGCAAAGCAGATCCATGATGAAATGTCACAAACTATGGGTGAGAGTGGCCCTTCAAATGCAACAGTTAAATGTTGGGTTGTCAATTTTAAAATTGGCCATGTCAGTGTTGAAAGAGAGAAACCCAGTGGAAGGCATGTTTCTGTCTCTGTGCCTGTAAATGTGAAAGCCATCCATGACATGATCATGGAGGACCGCCATATATCAGCCAAAAGTATTGCTATATATCAGAGAATATCACATGAGAGAGTTGGTGCCATTATCCACAACAATTTGGAAATGAGAAAGCTGGCAGCAAAGTGGATCCCCAAACTTTTGAGAACTAAACAAAAGAGGAAACGTGTGGAGTCATTGGTGGGTGTTTTGGAACATTTTGCAAGAAATGAGTCAGATTTCCTGGCAAACTGGTAACTGGTGATGAGACATGGATCTACTGTTATGATCCTGAGACAAAGGAACAGTCTAAGGAATTGAGGCACAGTGGTTCCCCCAGGCCAAAGAAGTTCCAAGTGCAAAGATCGGTGCAGAAGCAAATGGCAACAGTTTTGGGGGGTAAGAAGGGAGTTCTGCTGGTGGACTACTTCCAACAGGATTCAACCATCAGTGCAAAATATTACTGTGCTTTATTGACGAAGTTGAGGCAAAACTTCAAGGAAAAACATCGAGGAAAGCTCTCCCAAGGTGTCATTCTGTTGCATGACAATGCCTCGTCATGCACTCCAGGTAAAATAATAGCAAAACTGACCTCCTTAGGCTTTCAAGTGATGCCCTATCCACCCTATTCTCCCGACCTGGCTCATTCTGACTATTATCTGTTCCCCAAACTCAAAAAACACCTAAAGGGACAACAATTTGGGAATGTTCTGACGGTAACTAATGCTGCAAATGAGTGGTTACACCAGCAGTTGGAAGAATTTTATTTGCAGGGACTTAAGAAGGTGCAGGACAGATATCGCAAGTGCATTGACTTCCTGGGGGGATATGTAGAATAGTGTGGCAGTTACAGCTTCCTAGCTCAATTTTTTTCTGGGAAAAGCTCAATACTTCATGCATGTACCCAGCAATTTAATAATATGTTTTCAGTATTTTTAAGCTCATGAAATACTGATATGAAAAATCTTTAAGGTTTGTTGCTTCTCTCTGTAGTATGGTTCTGTCTACAATGTGATTGAGCTGTCAAAAATATCAGCTATGCCAGAAAGTTATAGGCTAGTACATAAAAACAACTGTAGTCCAACTGAAATTAATTGGAACACTAGGCTTAACTTGAAAATAAATATGTTTGTGGATCTAGCTGCCTGCCTAAACCTTCTAGACATGATCTAATAGTGATTATATGCAGTCTAGGCATTCCCCTGCATAGCCCATTCAGACGTAATCATGCAGTATCATGGAAGTGATGGTATTTATTTAGTACATTATGAAGTGATATTTGGCTTGCATGATTGTATTATCAAAGAAAGTAGAATAAAGTTGGAAAAATATGCATAGGAGTTGGAATGCAAGATTACTCTATGAAAGAGTCAAGTCATTCTGCTGTAGAGACTGATACAGTTCTTACATACTATCATAGGTAATAAGCTGAAATAAATTTTGTTCATTTGCAATTGCAAATCCAATATGTCCCACATTTCAATTAAAATAGTGTAATAAATTATTACAATTTTTAACTTTCACAAGAATATAAGGCTGTTTCTTTAATAAACTCAAAAAAGCCTGCAAGGCAGCAGTAGTTTTGATTTTCAAAGTGCCACCCAGTTATTTTACTATGTTTTTCTCTGTCTTATAATGGCAGAATCACTCTTCTGCATATCTGTCTTAATCACTATGGCATTAGTACATCATGTACAATAAATTTAGGGAGATTTTATGCAAAGTATAGTGATGTAAACAGGATAATTCCTTAAAATTATGGAATGCCATCCTATCCCTCCAAAAATAGGAAACCAAAACTGTGATGTGATGATTGATTTGCCTTGCCTTGCCTTACCATTCAGTTAGTACATTGGAACCAAGAGGTGGGAAGAGATGTAAGCTCAACGGCTAGTAAATTCTCCAGTATCCTCTTAGGTAGGATAAGTATTCCTAAAAGAGATTCCTCATCGTGGTCTTCTGTGAATGCACACAAAAGGGTTAACCAAGCGCCAGCGCCGGTCCTCTCGGAATGTTCTTGAGCTGTAATAGAAATGTAACAATTGTAGGCTGCCTCCATTGTGCATGCTCCGCCCACCCAAGCCTCAGTTCCATTTTTCCGCGTTGCGGTCGGGACCTCTCCTTTCGAGCTCCGCTCTTTTTCGCTAAATTCCCTTTTGGATTTTTCAGTTTTTGACACGGATCGCTACCGCTGCCTACTAATTCTGTTGCCCGTGACCAGGACTGTTTTTCGGACCATTCTATCGCTTTGTGCTGGGACTTGACTGCCTCGGATCTTTTTTCCCGCCTTTTTTCTCCCTTGCTTCTAACGGCCCTACTCTAGCCTATGCCGTCTGGGCCTTTTAGCCGTTGTGTGGATTGCGATCGCAAGATTCCCCACCAGGACCCCCATGATCGCTGTTTGTTTTGTCTTGGTGAGGCTCACCAGACTAAGTCCTGCCCCCATTGCAGGACTTTTACAAAAGCGGCTCTTAAGGCAAGGCAGCAGCGCCTGAAACTCCACCTTTGGGAGTCCACCCTTGCAGCCACAAAGCCAACGGACTCAGAAATGGCCTCACTGTCAGCAACTCCCAGGTCCGAGCCAAATGCTTCCCCTCAGCCTTGCTCATCGAAACCTCCTCCAAAGAAGACGATTCCTTCTCTAAAATTGTCTAGCAAGGCGAAGTCGGTCTCGTCCTCCAAACCTATGAAACAGAGCAGGGGAAAGGGCGTTGAGAAGACCAAGGACGCTGCGGTGTTACCGCCTTCATCAGCACAGTCCTTGCCTTCCCCTTTACTGGAGGATTCGTCGAGAGACCGGGAGCCCTTGTCGGAGACAGCACCTTCTCTGCCTCCTCGACAAGTGGAGCCGATGTTACCGTGCGGAGTCACTTCTCCGACGCCGAGCCAGCTCGTAGCCGTCACTACGGGTTTGGTCTCTCCCCCACTTAGCCCATCCTCTCCTGGGCGGGGATCGCCGGCTCTCTCGACCTCGCCACCTTTATCAAGGTCGAGATCACCGAAGAAGCGCGCGTCGAAGAGGAAGCGTAGTCCTTCCGATCGACGTCGCAACAAGCGTCGACGTCGACGAAGCTCCTCCTCTTCGACGGACTCCGAGTCCTCCCGGAAGCGGCGTCGACATCGGTCCAGCTCCTCGACGTCTTCGTCGACGTCTACGGATCGACGTCGACGAAAGCACAGGAAGATCAAATACATCTACCTGTCGTCTTCCACCTCTCCTCAAATTGAATACCGGCATCGACGTCGACATCGGGGAAAGGGTGATAAACAGCACAAACCGCCCCAACCACAGGTGCCGCAGCCGGCTCTGCCGGTACAGCCACCCCCCGTGGCTCCTCCCGTTGTACAACCTTC